TTAAATGAAACTATCAGTGTTGCTGTGATAGTGTACTTTCTTAGAGTTCACAAATACGTAAAAACGTTCTCACTGCTGGCCCAAATCACAAGAGAAAAATCAATGGGATCTAATTTCCTTCAGAACGGCAGTATTTTAAGCTCAGCTGATGGAGTCTTGATAGATGGAAATACATTTATATACTCACAGACCAATTTAATTTCTTTCCCTGTCATGGGACCTCTGTCACAACACTTCCTGTAGGTACCATCCAAAGGAAGTCTGGCATCTGCTATTGGTGCAATAATTAAGTTTTGGACAGAAAACACACAGGCTAAACCAGAGTTCATGGCAAAGGACAGGATATTATGACAAAGGTTCAAACAAGGCCACATGGGAAGAATGGATGAAAGGATATACTTGGGTTTGCAGAAGAAAATGTTGAGAGTATAATTTTCTGACAAACAATTGGGACTTTTATACATTAGTTTCTTATGAGTGTCAATTAAGACCTGAAAAGAATTAAGTTGATCTACGGAAAATGTATTCCCATTTTTATAGCCATTTTGATTAGAGATTATTAGTGAAGAGCAAAAAAAAAAAAACATTCCCGGTTTCCAGCTTCTTAATACGTGTACACATACATCAGATTAAAACATATTTTTTAGGTTTAAATAATCAAGAGCTTAACCAACAATGAAAATGATCGTAGGTTTCAGCCTTAAGTCAATCACAAGGAACCCTTTAAGTGAACATATCTAACAATGATAAACTAATCTGACTTTGATACTGCAGTCACATAAAGCCACCCCAGTTTTGCAGCTTCTGGGGAAAGGCCCATTTGAGGGCCCACAGATAAAGTGGAACAAGGAAAATGTCTGTGTGAGCGCTGGGTGTCTGTCAAAGCAGGAACTGGGAGGCGTTCTCCGTTGACCTCTGAGGGCAAGGACTTCCCAAAGCCCCTCTGCAAAACAACAGCAAACCCGGCAGCTGACAGTGGGACACAGGCGGCTGCTACTCTGCTAGGCCTGCCCTGAAAACTATGACTGACTCCCCCCACCTCTCTTCCTCTCTCCTCTTGTGTACCATCCACAAGGGCAAGACGGTAAAGTCCTTTAAAGCTGGCAGCAGGAGAAAGCAGAAGCAGCAGCTATCACATTGCCGATATGATCTGTCTGGAATGTGGCAATGCTTTACTGTATGTGAACAGACACGTTTGTGATGTCAGATACAACAACGGGCAGATGGGAGGGTTTAGCAGCTTGATCCCGACCTGAGAACAGGAATTCAATTGTTTACAGTATGACACATCCCATGCATGATTCATACTGTGCATGCAAAGTACTATTCATATATGCAAGATTTAGATGACGTATTGTTACGCATATGTCAATACTGGAAGTCAGAAAGAGGTGTAACTGTCTAACCTGGGCGAGGAAGAGGTTAGTAAACAGACTAAAGTCAAAATTTTCTTTTCTTTGTTTATTACAAGTCAAAGATAAAAGACAATTGTCAACAAATGTACATTTAACTGTATATTGATTTGAAAGGTGATACTTTGTTGCCTACACAGCTGCTACAAATTAAAGATTGTTGGAGGGTTAATGTAGCAGACATGATGAAGCATATTGTCCCACCACTGGGTGATGAGTAAAATAACCTCAACAGAACTATGCAATAAGCACTGTGCAAGGGCTGGATTACTCAGTTGTTTTCATGTTCCTTTTGCTTATTCTGGACATTGTTCAACAAAAGCAACCAAGCCCCTCCCACCTACCCTTAAAACACTGCCCACCTCTGGAGCCTCGATCAGCCCCCGAGAAGAGATAAATCGTGAAAAAAAAACCTTAAAGGAGCACAACTGTTTTCCTCGTGGAAATGCAGCGTGTGTGAAAAGTCACTACACATGTCTGCAGTGCAGGGCACATTTTTAAAGGGGGGGGGGGGTTAAAACAGAAAGTTTATGCTCATCATGTGTTTGTGCAGCAAGGAGCTGTTGTAGAGAGAGTGAGTCACTGCTGAGAGTTAATCACATTTGTAAACAATTAACAAACATTTAACCAGGACTAGTCATGCTTGTTACTGACGAAACATGTTGTCTCCTGTCTTAACCACCAGTTACATCCAAGCTTCAACGGCCACAAGTGTTTTCCTCCCTAAATTTTACATATTATTTGCATGCTAGACCTGCCCCGGTAGTACCAGTTTTTACTCTTTCCTAATCCTGCACTGGATTCTACACGGCATTTAACATGCATAGCTGTGTGCCACATGTTCAGAAACCGTCTGTGGAAGGTCACATTTTCAAAACAATGACAAATCATTTCAACAACTAACTACTGATTAACAAACACAGGCCTCGTCTGGTTTAGGGAGGACTTTATGGTAGAATGGGATGGAATATTGACAGGGAAAGTGTTAAGTATTAAAACACCTTTTCATTGTTGCAAATAATCTCCTAAAAGAGGCACAACAGTATGAGCCGTTGTAGCATTTAACATGTCAGTTACAGTTTCAAAACAATACATTCCTTACACCTCCTCAATTCATTCCAATATAATGACCAATCACACCATCGTCTTTGAAAAACACAACACACCTTCAGGCTGGAATGTCTCAGAGTATGTGAAAGTAGTATCTGCAAATATCCCTCTACATTAGGACGTCAACTATGTCAGATGACAGCAATACTGGTGAGTAAATGGCCCCGATTGTCCATAGCCTGACTTTAAGTGGAAGGAATTTCAGATGGACAGATTATCGCATTCACAAGTCTGCCTGTTCTGGACACTCCATCTCATGACACTGTTTTCTGGCTGAAATTGTGTGTGTGCAGTTGTTTATAGGTTATTGCTCAGGGTGAATAGCAGGGTGAGAAGGGCTGAGAGGCTGTTCCCTGCTCTTTTGCCTGAGGAAGGCCATTATGTTAGCTCCATTATGCCTTGTGAGCGTTTTTTTTTCTTGTTGTTTATACAGTACTGCTATGAACCAAGCAAGTTTTTTCCTCTGTACCATTGCAGCTGCTGTTCCATACTGACCATGGTGGTCTCTGTGTAAACATTAGCCAGCTTTAAGTGGAAGACAATGAGGAAATGACAGGACAGGAGAGGGGGGGTGCATTTGAAGACATTCAAGGATGGATTTCCAGATGAAACAGAGAGATGACATCATGGCAAAGTCAGCTAGTAGGAACATGGAGAGGCCTGGTAATGCAACACCATACATAAACAGTGGACAGCTGTATTTATAGGAGATTGTCTCATGGTTCTATCTGCCTCCATAAATCCCATTATCTGATTTGCAGCCATTCTCCTGCCCAGCACCCAGCAAGAGACTAGCAGCTTTGGCTTATAAAGCCTTATCAAGGTACTCTAATGCTGTGGAGTTATCACTATTGTTGTGACATTAGTTGACTTGGCCAAGATGAAAACTGGTCACATCAATGCTCGATTAGCCATTACCTCATCATGATCGGATAAAGCTAAATGGCAGTTTGTGTTTGTGTCTGAGAGCTATTTAGTCTAAATAACAGACAGCTGTCGGGTATTACAAAGGCTTACCTCCATGTTGTCATAGGACCCCACAGTGCTGGGTGGCCGTCCATGTAAAACTTGCCAACTGTATTTTTATATACAAATTACATTTCTAGATTCTAATAGACTAAGACAGTATTCAAGAATCAAGAATAACATGTGGTGCCTCCTGTAGGGCAGAGAGAGGAGATGGGAGTGGGATGCACCTGCTACAATTCTGACTTCAAATATCTGAGTTTGAACCCACTTATCTGAGACCAAGATGAACAAAACACAGAGTGCAGCAGTTTGACAGAGAAAGTAACCAGATGTATTGGATTACTTGCACCAGTCAAGCTTATAAACATAGAGAAACTAATCCAAAGTGTAATTCACTTACATATCTCCTCAGTTTTTTCTCCGGTGGTGACTTTCTTAGCCAGCCTTGGAAGAGGATTTCTCCGCCGCTCATGTTTGTCACTGTCTGCTGTTTCTTCTTGCTCTACAACTGCCGTCTGTCACTAGTACATGACGGCTCCTGAAGGCTTGCCTGTTCAAAGTGCTGTCGGCGTTTGGCTCTCACTGGTGCAGTCTGCTCCCCCCATTTGATTAAAATCAAAGTAGTGCTGGTCGGAGATGTTGCCAGTCGCTCCTGGTGGTACTGTGCGCAATAGCCAGCGCGCAAAACTACAGTTGGGTAAAATCAGGCGCAACTCGACTCTTCGGGGATTAACGTTACGCACGGCGAAGTGACGAGGAGCCGCGGGGAAACTCAACTGATGCAGGGTGAGGAAGTACCGTAGGGTGTCTGCAGTTTGTTTTCCCAACTCATACCACGCCCACCGCGCAGAGAGGGATGGGCTGCGCTGGGATGGACAGGATGGGAGAACTGCTTCCCACAAAGTAGCTTGCATCTCCCAAAAGGACTTTAAATAATGGAGGATGCGATCGATTTGTAACATACTATTTGTCAACGTTTACACAAAAGAGATCACACAAGTACTTTTTTTATTTCAAACGCGGAAATGCATCGTATTTAATATTATCAAATCAAACGTGTGTAATACGCCTCAGAAAATAAAGTTACGTTTCAATCATGACCAACGGATAGAGATTTCTTTGTGTGCTTTGAAAAATATAATATCCTCAAAGGCAATGAATGGAGTCAACAGCTGCTGTAAAAGATTCGCATTTTCTCTCGCATTGGATAGAATGGGAAAAAGCACCATCTTGTGGAATGTTGAAATACTTGACAGTTGTTCTGAAAACCAACATATTAAATATGGAAGTTGAAGAGGTAAAACAGACATAATTTGATTGAAGTAAACACGCGATTAAAAATATACAGTGGATGATATAATCATATATGGTTGTAAGAAAGAGAGATCAATTTAAATTCCACTTTGACAAAGAATATATCCTCTCCAATTTCACTGATCATTGTTTTTATATAAGATACACTAAAAAAGAACTATTATTCAAACACTAATATACCAATAAAAAACTAAATAATGTTGAGTATAATATTTATTTGATGTTTGCAGACAGCAAAAACACATTCACTGACTTCAAATATATCCACTAGGCTCAATCTGTGTTTTATAAAAGACAAGAATGGGAAAATCTAGGGAAAGGTATCACATCTTTTATGTTGTCAACACCAAGAATGCATTGCAGATATCGCTCAAATCCCAGTCCAAAGCCACCATGAGGGACGGAGCCAAAACGCCTCAAATCCAGATACCTGAAAATAAATAAAAATAACGTTACAACTCTGTTGGTGTGTGTGAGGAGGTCTATTTTAAAATGTTAATGTAAATATGTTTTTTTTTTTACCAGCTGTAGGTATCTTCTAATCCAAGCCTGGAAAAGTATGATAATATATGTAAGAGCCTTTGGTCAAAACATAAACTCAATACATAAAATAAATCCTCTCAATCATCATTTTATTAATTAATGAGCAAACAACAAAACTAACTTTCTATGCACTCTTTCTCTTCTGTTCTTAATTGAGGGTTACAAAGTCAGACAGGTGCAGCAATAGATATATTCACCAGCCCATTGGGTTGATGTTGCCTTTTTTTTTTAAATAGCAGACAGTCAGCATTGTTTTAGTTATACTTTTATATAAATGCCAAATGTATCACATAGTTCTCCTACCACTAAATATGTGTGGTGAGTCAGACAGAAGTTACCCTGTGTTTTTGCAGCTGAAATGCCTAACTTTTTGCACATTGTTGCCCTATGAGGTGGTAAAGACACATAACAGATGTCTGGGTTATTGTGGAGGCTATATAGAAAACTTAATTTTTTTATTTTAACCATCCACTGAAACACCAGCTAGCCCAGTTTTACACTACTGGGATTACGCTTAATCTCATTTGAATTAAGATACAAACAAATTTAAAGCAACAAAGCAGATACTACAGCCATAGTCTAAATATATTAGCATGGGCCTTCCAGTACCCCTGGAGTATGTGTTCTTACTCTTTCAACCGAGCCCTTAGCAGATCCAGCCTCTCCTCTCTCAGCGAGCCCCCACAGAGCTCTCCAACTCCTGGCACAAGAAGGTCCACTGCAGCTGCCTGCATACAAACGACAGTCGGAGTCAGCTCGGATATGCAAATCGCTGCAATAACTCAACTGACATTACAAGGAAGGAACTGAGTGGTTAAATCATTGATTCACTCAGCGCTTTTAACAGTGTAACTGCGTCTTACTGTATGTTGCGGATGGTCCTCGTTGTCTCTTGCATAAAAAGGCTTCAGATCATAAGGATAATCAGTGACAAAGACTGGAATGTTGCCGCAATGTTTCACCAGATACTTCTCATGTTCTGTCTGAAGGTCACAACCCCACTGTAGAAAAGAAGAGCAAAAGTCAATGTGGAGCTCCGTGGAATGATAGTGTTAGTGTCAAATATACAATAAAGGTAGATATTAAGTCTGAGAAAATAAAAATATTGCCACTTACGTGTGTTGGGAAGACAAATTTCTCAGAGCTGCGGTTTAGGATGTCTATAGCCTCACTGTAGGTAATCCTAAAAGTAAATTGGGCTAGTATCATTCATTCAAGGTCGTCAACATTTGACTTTATTCTTTATCAGATTTAAAGGACCAGTGTGTTGGATTTAGTGGCATCTAGCCGTGAGGGTTGCAGATTGCAACCAACTTAAAAAATCACGCATCTTCCAAGCATGTAGGAGAAACTATGGTGACAGCGAAACTTGCAAAAAATGCAAATTGCCATGTCTAGAGCCAGTGTTTGGTTTGTCCATCCCGGGCTAGTGCAGAAACATGGCGGTTCAATATGGAGGACCTACTCCCTCTGTGGATAAAAATGGCTCATTCTAAGGTAACCAAAACACAACGATTCTTATTTTCATGATTTTCATGATTATACTCGAAAACAATAAGTACCTAAGAATATTATTTTCGATTTCTGCCAACATATCCTCCTAAATGTTACACACTGGACCTTTAATTTAATATGCCATATTTTAGAAAATAGAGACTTACACAGGGAATCTCTTCCTCAGCATAGAATCTACAGTGTCCTTAGGGTGCATGGATGCAGTGGGAAAAACATGTAAGTAAAGATGAAGTCAGATGCAGTTGTGGCTGACAGGAATAAGGAGCCAGGTTATGTACCAAAGTTAAATAAGTGTCCTTGAGGGCTTACCTTGTGTCCAGGAGTCACATGCTTGTGAAACAAATCCACATCCTCTGCACAGTAAGCCAAGACATGCTCGGTGGCAGATCTGAACATGTCCTCCATGACCTAAGGAGTGGGCCCAGTTTAATAATTAAAGCTTTCCCGGGCAACTGTGCACAAGGGCAACTTTAAAAGTCACATCAGGTAAGTGTAAAATTTGAACTGCAGTACACAGAAACTGACGTGATGTGACATCAGTTCATACCACCCAGGACGCCAATGTTAAAACAATTAGCTAGTCTGTGATGATTGCTCTTTATCAAAGGTTATAAAACAACTTTAATGCTATTAGTCTCTCCTCTAGACAGTGATCCACCCTACAGCTATCTAAAGCAACTTTGTGAGAGAATAAAGATGACAAAACTATAAAACTTTCTGGTCATATGGTACAGCACGTGTCAATAAATCTAAAACCCTGGAACTTTGTTGTTATAACATGAAAAAATTAATAGAAACCAATGGCTTTCAGAAAGGTTAAATATCAATCTACTGTTTGCACAGAGGTATGTCAATTGAAAAGCAGCTAACAGGATACCATTTTATCCAATGTGCTACTTTGATTGAGAGCAATAATGTATTTTGGGGCAATGACTTTGCAAAGTGTACCTTGGTAAGATCCTCTAAGGACTGTGTGAAGGAGACCTCAGCCTCCACCATGTAAAACTCAGCCAGGTGGCGTCTGCTTTGGGAGTTCTCTGCACGAAAAGTTGGCCCAAATGTGTACACTCGAGAAAAAGCCCTGGAAGAGTATGAGTTACAAGGCATAATTGGAAATGTACTTCAGTGTGCGTGCACATGTCTGTCTCTTACTCTCTGAGGCAGAACATACAAGTAGGATGAATGAATTTTAAAAATGTGTGGATGATCACTAGAAGATCTCACCCTGACATCACCTCCAAATGAAGCTGACCAGACACAGTCAGGAAGGCTGGGACAGAGAAAAAGTTCTCATCTTCTTCATTCTCTGGTCTTGATGGCTGTGGTAACAGCAGAAGTGTTTAGCTTTCAAACAACATCATTAATCCTTCTGTTCAGAACTTTGATTCACAATCAAATGTGACACATATGAACCAGCTACATATGAGATTCACAGAAAGCTAAAATACTGTTATATTCATAGCATAGAACATTTGTTAATGCATCTGTTGATACTCACCTCAATCTGAAAGAGCTCCCCTGCGCCTTCACAGTCATTTGAGGTGATGACTGGAGTGTGGATCTGCACAAAGTCATTTTCCTAAAAAATAAATAAAATAAAGACTATAATAAACACAGTCCTGCTATGCATTCTATTAAAAAGTGCTCCACTGATGTTCTTACCTTGAAATATGAATGAATTGCTGTAGTGGCCTCACTTCGTATCCTCAACAGGGAGCTAAAGGCATTTGTTCTACACCTGAGATGAGGAAACTGGCGAATATACTCCAGGCCGTGTCTGTTTTTGATTTTAAAGGGAAAATCCTGAAACAAGAACACAAAGCAACATCCTTTATATTACATTTTCTATGCAATGACCACACTGAGGGAGATGAGGTATAATTTGAAGCTAGCCCTGTGAGTCGGTAAAATGTGTGTAGGATGTTTGAGGAGACTATATTCCTTACCACAGTGTTACATTCTCCAACTACATGGATGTGGTCTGCTTCCAGTTCAACTGGCTGTTTCTGGGATGGACTTTTCTTAAGAATACCTGTGACTTCAACAGCACTCCCAAATGTGAGCAACCTCCATTTTGGGAAAAAAGAAAAGAGTGGAAGAGAGTCAGAGTATTTTAAGTATGCTCACTCCTCATCCCTAAAACTGAATGGTGAAAGATTATCTACAGGGAATAAAACTTAAAGTGCTTACGGATCATTCAGCTCCGAACTGGCGACGATCTGCAATGACTGCAAAGAGCTCCCATCATTCACATGGAGAAAGAGATTTGCTCTCTGAGGTCTAACAGAGCGAACCCATCCCTACAGCAGAGAAACAAATTAAACTACAATTAGCTGTTCCTTCTGGTAATACAGAAATATCTTGTTTTATTTAAGAATTTCACTCCTCTCTCTCTGAGTATAATGTCAGCTAAATGTATCAATATACAGTTATACTTGAAATGATCTGGAAAGAAAACATACATGGATCATTGTCAGAGTTCAGGGTGCATGAGCTGGTTGGTATTCAGGTAAAATCCCAACCAGCTCATTATGCAAAATCAGTTTGATAACAGATCTTTGTAATTTTATTAAACAAATTACAATTTAAAGCATAGAAGTGCAAGGTATACATGTACAGTTATGTTTATCCCTGGTTCAGTAGCAGATGCTAAGAAGAATCCAGGCAAGAATAACATTAAGATTATAATGTTAACTTGATCGTGAAGAAATGACCAGCCTTTTTAAAGGTTGCAATGAAAATATATGGCATGTTCTTTTTCTCTGAAATAAAAGGTATAATTGACACTGACCTTCTTATTCTTTAGGGATTTAAGTGTTTTGCGGAATTTAGAGTGGTTGATAAGACTATCCATGGTTAAAGTCAGATAGTATTAAGCTTTGTATTTTCTGATAACAGCATTTATTTCTGAGGTAACAAAAGAGCAGCCACTCATCAGCAGAATGTCTTTCTGGCGAAGGATCATTGCCTATTTCAAGCATGGATGATGATTTCTTTAGAAAAACCAAGGGTTGTCCCTATTTTTAATTCAGATTTGTTTGTTTTTTTAAAGAGAGCGTGTTTGTGGTCAATCAATAAGAAATGTATTGAAGAAGAAACAGCATCTGTAAAAGCAGGAATCAGAGCTATTTATTGCCATATCACTCCAGCTAAATCATGCAGGACATAAAATGTTGGACCCTTGGTGTTGGGCAGATCGGTGTGATGGGGCAATGATGGCTAATGTGGGCGAGATTTGTTAAAATGATCAAGAAGAGTGTCACTGCCAGGTCTAGCAGAATTTGTTTTTGTGTGGCTGTCAATAAGTTGAGATAGTTTGAGGAATCACAAACATGCCTAAAATGTACAGATTTATCACTCAACCAGTCCCAGCTTAAATAACCCATCAGGATCAGTTCAGGTGAGATGAAATTAGACAGTACAGTCTAACTTGTGATGGATCCATTAATGGCTAATGGAGGACTTTAACAACCAATAGCAGTATTCGGAACATTTCCTACATTACCTGCACAGCTAAAAGCTCAAATTACATTGGAATTGATATGGGATAGAGAACATGACATTTCCCAGGGATATATATTGCAACACCTCCAGCCAAATGTAACAAAATATGATAGGCATTATTAAGGTTCACTAAAAGGTAGCTGATGTATTCATCAGATTCCCACAAAACGAAACACAGCAGTCTGAGTGTAGCTAAAATAAGCAGCATATTCCTGAAGGATCGCTGTTGTGATTTTAAAAAGAGGCGTTACCTGTACTTTGACATTTGCTCCCAATTCAGCACCTGCAACTGCTTCTGATACTCTTAGTGTCGTTGGTGTCTTCTTACAATAATGTCGGATGCTTAACAATATTCCCCGAGAAACTGCTGCAGTAGTTGAAAGCGTTTTAGCTGCAGCCTGAAACATCGTAACAAACGCTGCACCTAGAGACATAGAAACTACTAAAAGCCAAACATGTTGCGACGACCCGAAGGAACAGAAAACAACACATTTAATGCTTTCTTTACGGTGTTTCACGCTTTGCTTTGACTTGACTTTCACGTTGTCACTTGTCTTGACTGTAACACTTCCTGTTTGGGTCTTCCACCGTTTGTCGAATGCGATCACGTGGATCACGATAAACCAATCAGATGTCGGTATCTTACAGCAGTCTTTTTTATTGGTCTAGGGAGTTGTAGTTTTTTTTTATGAGAGCCTGCATATAATTTTAGACAATAAGTAAGACGTTTAGGATTCTATTTTCACTATTTTTATTGCAATTATGTTATAAATATTTTTTGAAATGTTATGTTATGGTATAAACTATAGATACATATTTAATAAAAAATAAAGTAATGTGAGAATTATCAAGGGAAGAGCAGTATGCAGATAAAGCAGATTTGATGTAAGGCAAGCAGTGTTTCTGTAAAGTTGTGAAAAATGTCCTGATTCATGTTCAAACCTCTCTTCAGAAGTACAGGCCACAATATTTCATACCAAAGGTCATCAACCAAGGTGATTTCTACATGCAGGTAAGAAGTATAAAATATATTTTCAATAGTAAAGCATAGCACATGTGGAGTGATTCAATAGTGTAATGAAGCAAGTACAGCTATCACAACCACATGGAAATCCTCTTTAATCTTGCATGATGTATCTGCCGTCAGTGTGAGGTCCATTTGTGCGTAAGCCTCGTTAATCCAATACCCACAACGACACCGGGTCTATTCCCACCATTTGCTGCTGGTGTAAATCAGATCATGCCAGCAATGTAATAAGATGCCATAGACAATTATTCACCTGGTCTCGCCTGTCAGCTCTGGAGCCCCTGGTCTGGGTCTGCCAGCAAATACAGAGCAGGGTGTCTCCACCTCCGGCTGCTTATGACACATCATCATTAAACCCAACATGATGCATTTGAAAAGTCAGCAGGGTCATTGATATTAATTATCTCCAGCATGAATGGAGCAATTATGCACATGGTCTCATCTTAATGGGGAGCAGAACGATTTTATTTTTCAAATCATTGACAGAGTCTGCAAAATATAATGGGACATATGTTCAGGTCATGTATGTCTGTATCATATGTTCCTGTGTCTTTAGAGAAAAGTTGAAACATCTAACAGTTGAAGCATCTATCAGAACTATTAAAACCACAAATCAGGAGAAGGCTATCTTTAAGTTGCTGCTAGGAAACAACCAGGATTTGTCAAAAATACATAAGTAAACAAAAAATATCCATTTTAGGACATGTATAACAAGTAATTATGTATAATTGAAGTAATATACTGCTGAAATCTGCTTTCCCTCTCCCCCTGTATCTTTATGTGCAATATCCTACTCTACCACAAGGTAGTGCTGTAGCTCTATGACACTTTCCACTGCTTTCAAAACCCCACCTAATGTAGATTTATTCATTTACCCCCGAGTTGCCTCCAATATATTATTCATTTGCAGCTCCAAGGTGGAAACAAGCTGGCATTGTTATGTTCTCGCTGCAGTTCTATCAAGAATAATGCAAAGGACCTGCTGGCTTTCATTGGCAGCTAATAGTCCAGCGCAACAGTGAATTCACGTTGCATGTAGGAACTGTCTTCTATGCATCAGTAGGAACAGCAAGGTTGAGGTACCACCAGTGTTTAACTATAAGTTGATTTGTAATTTCCCCTCTTTTGCAGGCTTGACACATTCCGTGACAACTTCCATGTGGGAGTGATGCTTAATGGTGTGGCATGTTGCATGTATTTATATTTCCACAGACACACATCCTCCCACACAAACCACAAGGCAATGCATGCATGAAACAAGGTGTAAAACAGTATGCTTTGCTGTCTGTATAAAAGTCTTGCACTGCTTAGAAAAACAACCCAAAGTAAAATGTTATCCTGTTTACACTCCCCATATAATAAATCAAGAAGAGCAGTCAAATGGTACTCCTAATGGGAGACACATAGCTCTCTGTTCTTGGAGCCTCTACAGGTAGAGGAGTTGTTTGGCAGTAGCCTGACAACCTTATTTGGGCTTAACAACTTGTTAAAATCAATACACGATTAGTCAGCAAAACAAAGGATTTTGCTGTAAAAGCTTGGATCTCAAGAGGATCACTGAACTTAGAGGGCAAGTGCATCCTCTGGTTTCAGCAGGCCTGCCTGTCCACTGACTGCAGCACAGTATCGACAGCATCTCCGGCCCCTTCCACTGGCCTTCATCAGCTTCTCCAAATATTCTGCATTTTCAAATGGAAGGGTGCATTGATTTTATGTAACATGGCTCGTTAAGTGCTGATTAGACCATTATAGTGATGTGATTTCAGGGAATGGGTTTGGGTGACAGGCGGCCAAACACAAATCAAAAGGAACTAACAACCCTTACTGAAAGAAATTTGGACTGCTGCACTGCTTCACCTACGGCCCTTCAGTTACTACCAAAATACTGTGTCTGTGCCAGTTTACATCTATGGACCAGGTTCAGCACTCTGCACGAAAATATCCATTAACAGTGTTAAAGACATTCACTGTTTAGAAATGATGATGTTCAGCCATCATAGGGGAATCATTTTCATATTGTATAGGCTATTCAATCAATTGAGAGTATTTGTGCTAGTGCTGCAATGATAATTCGATTAATTAATCAGTCAGTCAACAGAACAACAATTTTGATAATTGATTGTTGCAAGATATGAAACAATTGCTGTTTCTCAAATGTGAGCATTTGCTGTTTTTTTCTGTAATATACCATAAACTGAATATATTTGGGTTTTGGAGAGTTGGTAAGACAAAACAAGCAATTTTCCCGTTGAGCTTTGAGAAATGTTCACAACTTAATATCATGTTAGAGACTCAATTCATCAAAATAATTGACAGATAAATCAATAATGAAAATACTTATTAGTTGCAGCCCTAATCTGGGCAATGAAACTTGCAGAGCAGAATGCATATCTCCAATCAAAATGGAAAATGGATCAGTTTTCATGCTGCCCCTCGTAAATCAGACAAAAATAAATGAAACATATTTAAGAGAAGTAACTGTTGTTGTCCCCTTGAGGTTGCCTCTTTGGTGTACAGCCATAATTATCATACTTATCTTTTTCTTTCATTCGATTTTCATTTTATTTGATGTGAGCCACATCAGAGACAAAATTCCCATCACCTTGTGATGGACTTTAGTGTTTCTCATCCTGATTTTAAATATCAATTGCTACCATTTTTATGTAATTTGGCTTACAACAAAAGTTCTTCAAAGTGATCATGCTGTTCTATAAAGTCTTGTATAAAGTCATTTCTTTCTTGCACTTCTGAAATTACTCTTGCTAATTCTGAGTCAAACTTGACAAGTTCCTGTGGAGCTGAGTTAAATCTTTGCTCTGCACTCCAGCCTCCACATAATTCACTCTCTGGTTGGTGAAGAAGAACAATATAGTTAAATCTCTGATTACTCTATTGTTCTCATACTGAAGTGTGTCACATAACTGTTTCTTATTGTGTTAGTTACAGCAATGCTTTCTATGAGATATTGTTGCACTGACTGAATTGGGAACATTAAGGTACATTATGTATATTTTGAGCAGCAACAATCCTACAGTAGTGAGGCTAGTGATTACTGCATGTAATATGTTTATGATTTTACTGATCACAACTTCAAATCCAAACATAGAAGAACATGTGCCATTCAGAGCATTAACAATATCACAGCTTCAACCTTAAAAATCAGTTTACCACTTTGACCTTTCCTTTTCTTTCACTGGAGATAGTCAAAGACAAGACTCTCCTGAGGTGGCTAAGAATAGATAATGAAAAATAGAAAAGCAGAAAGGTAATATCAAAATATTGTACAATACATCATACAGTGTTATTCTCATCCGCGCACACACACAGGCAGCAGTCAAATGAAACAATTAATTCTCATCCGCACTTTGCTCCTTACAGCAGCGTTACTTGTCAGTGTCGGCTTTAGGAGGATACAGTGTGGGCTCTGCTTCATTTCCCCAGGTTCTTTAATTTAACTTCCAATAAGGATAGAGCTCCCTTATCCCCATTTACAGGATCATTTGCACAAATGATCCTAAATGTTAACTCTCAATTGTCGATGCAGGAATTCTAGTTATATCTAGGTCACCCCAAATAAATGTGGAATTTATTTATTTTTTCTCTTCAGGGGTACAGTATGAGACGCCTATGTGGATACTTACATAGTATATTCAGCATTCCTGCATGTTTGTCTGATTACATGTTGTAATAATGAAATGTTAAAACCACATCAACCCTCTGCATAGAAAACACCTCAAAGCCTAATCATTTTCTTTTTCTTTTTTACCTCATGGTCTGGACTACCACAGAAAAAAATCTGAGCACTTGATAATTTTTTCATCAAAATTTCATCATGTCATATATTTTCAGTCAGGTTTTGAAAAGGGAAATGCCTGCTGTTGGATTTTTATGATCTGTAGCTCCACTTGAAGATTTTACAACTCTTTTAGGACATTTTTAGCTGCCTAACATTACTGCAAACTGCTGTGAAGTTACAGGGTTTACCTTATCTGCCCCATGTACATATATTACCTCCTCCAGAAAGGTAATGTATTTCCATCCATCTGTATGAGTGTGTTTGCTTGTCTATCTGTGTGGTAGTAAACAGTTTTTGTAAAACTAATGGCCCAATTGGCAAGACATTGATTTTGCACTTTTACTTTTCCAAGAGGAAGAGACTTACTTAGGTTGGTAACCCCCTGACCTTTCTTTTACTGCCACATGAAACATTATGTACCTTTTTCTAATTAACGACTTACTCTGGACATGATTAAGCCTTTTAGCCAAATTCTGCTCTTTACTGAGTGAGTGGCTCCTTGTTCAACAAGCACTTTGTTTACAGGGCATACACAATATCCTAGTTCAAGAATGGCAGTGAAATGATCAACAGTTCACTAACAGCAACAACTACAAATGAGCAGTGAGAGCTGTTCTTTTCTATTTGTGTGGGAGCAGTCCTCCACAGCCCCATCATTAATGTGTCCTTCCCCTGCTGATTTATTTCATTTACCTCCCTTGTTGAAGCTGAACAATCTCATAAGTGAATGATAACTGGTTTCATCCCTGATAATAAA